ATAATAAAATATATATATAATAATATAAATAATATAAATAATATAATCTATCACACACAAGTAGAATAATAAAAATAAAACTATACTATTAATAAAGAGTAAAAACCGATACAAAAATTATCAAACCATTTAGTTTCGTATAATGTTTGCACGGTAAAAATACACGCTAATGAACATTCAAAAAAATCATAACAAATTTATAACAAATTCTAACAAGATTTCTGATAAGATTATTCCGATTTTAATATTGATAAGATTTTCTCTAATCGTGAATTTAAACTGAACAAGTTCAAATCCGTGTTAACATCTGAATACACACAGTTTCGTATAAATAAAAAATCACAAATATGGAATTAATATGAATTAAAAATATATAATATTTCGCGTAATCGATATTCTCGTAATAATTATTATCAAAATCATGATGTATAATTTGTCGTTTGAAATATTTAAAAAAAAAAAAAAAAAGAAAAAAAATAGAAGAATACTAATTCAATTTGTATGTATGAAAAAATATAATTACTTATATCCAAAAGAATTCTTAAGTAATTTTAATTTATAATTATGAAATGTTATTTAGTTAATGTTCCTCCGTGAAAAGTATTTTTTAATATTAGTTACACGTTCGTAGCATAGATAAATGGCGTTGATAGTGCAATGTAATAAACTTAATGAATCATCCGTAAGATAGTTATATGTATATTTATGTATACGTAATATTCATATAAAAGGCTAATGAGAAAATTTAATTAAATCATTTCATTAATCTAACTGGATTACTATCAGGGTGACCACACCAACACTTTGCTATCACACGGTGAAAGAATAACCTTTTCATTTTATCTACGTGAAAGTCGCGAACGGAAATGAAAAGTAAAATATATTAGTAACACGAGAATCCTTTCTTCAAACCGTTGGTCAATGTCAATATATAAACGTGATCAGACTGTTATCTCTCCTGTTTTTCTAACATTCAATCTTTTCCTATCGACGGAATAGAGAAAATAAAATAAATAGAAAATTATATTAGAAAATTAGTTCTCGAAAGAAAAAAAAGAAAAAAAAAAACAATTTTTCTGCTTTATTAAAACAAACGATTCAAAATTAAATATAGCAAAAGAAATTTTAAATATAGAAGGTGTTTCTTTTAACCAGAGATAACATTTTTTCTTCTTTATTGGATTAATATTTATCAACGTTTTTAATTAGAGTATCTAATATAGATTTTTCGTAAAATTAATATATATATTTTTTTTTAAGAGAATATTTTTTAATTAAATAGTTTTATTTATATTCTTATTTAATAATATAAATCATTTCAAATAAAAAAATATATATCAAGTGTACAGGGTATCAAGTATACAGGATGTAGTTAAATTTCACTATCTCACTCTTATTTAATTAGCTGTCATTTAAATTTGATATTTTCAGACTCCAGAGAACGAAGAGATGGCTGCGAGAAGATCCGAAAAAATATTCGTAACCAATCGATCCTGTACCGATTTGATTACCCTAATTATTCTAATCGCATTACTCGGTGGTTTTGTAAGTATAATTTAACGTATATAAAAATACTCGTATACATTATAATCATAGAACTCAGATATAAATATACGTTGATTTGATTTAATTTTAATTATAATTTCCGTTTCTCAAAAAAAAAAAAAAAAAAAAAAAAAACCAAAAAAAAAAAGGCATTTATGTTAACAAATTCCGTGAAAAATGGTGACATATATCGCATAGTATACGGATACGATAATTGCGGAAACGTTTGCGGACGTATAACGCCAAAGGAAACTAATCCTGAATTTAGTTGCAAGGGTGCCGACTACAGACATTTGCCGTAAGTATTGAATCAACAAAATTACGTGACGGATCATATAAATCGTAATAACAATCAAACATTGATGTTATTTTTGTTTAATCTCGTAGATATCTGCAGATGAGTATTCTAGCAAATGGTACAAAAATACGAAACTGCGTAACCAAATGTAACGATCCGGATCATTTGTAAGTAAAATTTTTCTAACGATTTTTAATCAAATGTATGAAAACATATCAAGAAGTGAATTTTTAATTGTTGCAGAATATTGTTTTTAAATCGTTGCATACCTAAAAAAGTAACGGATACCGTAACATCTATTATTAAAAGCCTTGGATTAGAAAATTTTTATAGAGTAAGTAAAGTTTTAATTTGATTGATTGAACGAATCAAAATTATGAAACATCATTAATTTTGACGTTTTCATTGTTATTTTAGGAAGTATCAACTGATCTCAGAGTGGCTTGGAGAGAACTGATGTATCTTTGTTTAATTGCACTTGGTTAGTGACATCATCAACGTCATCTCGTCATTATCATCATCATCATCGTCAGCTATCAATCATGATTGTCATTAATATCATTCCTGTCATCGTCCAAATAAATCCAAGCATATCACTTGATGATCCATTAATTGTTCAATCATTTTCAGCATTTTCTCTTGGTATTCTGATAGCCTTTCGTTACATGGTACAATGGATCGTTTACATCGTTTTAATTGGTGTTATACTTGCTTGTATAGGTGGTACAACTTATCTCTGGTTAGTAATACAATCGTATTATTTTTTATTATTAACAAAGGAAACAGTATTGTTATAACTTATCACTTTTTGTTTTTGTTTTTCTTATTCAGGATGGCTTGGTATCAAGAGAAAAAAGAATTGGAATCAAAGAACGTTGTTGATAAAGAAAATTTTGAAGAAGATTCCAGTATGGAAGCGTATTTGATTTATGCCATCATTATGACAATCGTTACGGTTAGGATGATTTATTAGTTATTATTAGGGTGAATTAAAAGTTCATGTGCGTTTTGTTGTGTTGTTTTAAGATAGTCTGCAACTATTTTGATGAAAGTCAATGAAATTATTTTATACAACGCACGAACTTTTTTCGGTACACCCTAATATCATCGTTGTACAATGAATATTTGACGATATTCCAAATTTTATTTTCATTTTAAACAGGTGATCACGTTATTGATAGTTTTGGTAATGAGAAAAAGGATCGCATTGGTAATGCAACTCTTTCGTGAAGCTGGAAAGGCAGTTTATTCCATGCCTGCACTTCTTCTACAACCAATTTATGTGAATATTCGTACAATGTCATCTATCAATTTTATATATTATTATAATTATATATTAATTATTTAAAAAAAAAATATCATTATAATCATTTCAATAGACGTACTTACTCATTGGCCTAACCATGTTCGCTTGGATTTATTGTATGCTCTGGATAGAAAGTGCTGGTACCGTTTATAAAAATAAAACAGGAATTCACTTTAGGAAAGATGCACTTTTGATAGTAAGTATCATTATTATAAATAACTTGAAAACAAAAAAATACTTTGTTTTTGTTTAATATATTATTAATAATATTATTTACAGACTGCCAGGTGGTACAATCTTTTCGTTTTCTTCGTCTTGTGTGAATTTTTCCTCGGTTGTCAGCACATGGTCGTTGCACTTTCGGTAGCTCGTTGGTTTTTCACGAGGTAAAAACATTTGTTTTTTTCACTTATCAAAGTATCCGAAACCTAATAAAAACGTTAATATATTATATTGTGATTTATTTGTTTCTAGAGATAAAAAGAAATTATCTTTGACTGTGACAAAAGGATTTGGATATCTCGTAAGATATCATTTGGGTACAATAGCATTTGGTGCACTGATCATTGGAATAGTACGTTTGGTACGAGCTATGATATCTTTCGTTCAAAATCGTTTGAAGAAATTCGACAACAGTTGTGTCAAAGGGATTTTATGGTGTTGTCAGTGTTGTCTTTGGTGCTTCGAATGTGCACTCAAATTTCTCACCAGAAATGCTTACATCGAGACAGGTAGTACATCGTTCACTTTTGTATTTTTTAATCAACGTTTCGTTTTTATATTAAGATTAACCAAACAAAGTTCGTGCAAATTTTGTCTCGAAGTCGATCAAATTATTTTATATATGCGAGAGTGAAATATTAATGTTAAAAAATACACGAACTTTTGTTTCACTCCTAATATTCAAATGTTTTCATCATAATAAAAATACATAGTATTTTTATTTTGTTTTTCCCCTTAGCTATATACGGTTGCAATTTTTGTACCGGTGGCAAGAAAGCTTTTCAAGCACTGTCGAGTAATATTTTAAGAGTAGCAGCTATAAACAGTGTTGGAGATTTCGTATTGTTCTTGGGAAAAGTATTGGTAGTTGTATTGACGGTTATAACTGGTATTTATTTGATACAGGTAAATTATTTACATTTGTTTTTTCTCTCTCTCTCTCTCTCTCTCTCTCTCTCTCTCTTTCTTTCATTAGTTTTGCATGACAGTAGTGTTTTTATTAAAAAACAAATTTTCTTTTTTCTCATATATTATTTGCATAGAAGAAAGAAGGACTACAGCATCCCTGGGTGCCAATTACCCTGGCAGGGTTATTGGCCTTCCTTGTATCGCATTGTTTCATTTCAATTTATGAAGTAAGGATCATCTAATAAACGATTAGAAAAGAATTTTTAATAACATTTTGAATATTTGATCGAACGATTGTTTTTCAGATGATCATTGATTCAATATTCCTCTGTTTTTGCGAGGATTGCGCGAAAAATGACGGAATTAGTAGACCATACTTCATGAGCCGTGGTTTGATGGTAAGAATTTAATTTTTTTTCATATACATTGTGTTTTTTTCTTATCATTCTTTTTATTAAATAATATATATATTCTTTTTTTTTCTTGTTATATAGGAATTTGTGGAAAATAGCAAAAAAGCGTTACGTCAATTGGACGAAACTCAATGACACCCCGTTGATAATCCGGAAAATGTTTGACGAGTTGTTAATCGTAATTTTTTCGGATTTGAATTGTTTCTTCCTTTAAAACATAAGAGAAATACTAAAAAAGAAGAAAGATAATATATAAGAAAAGAAACGAACAAATGAAAATAATATTCCTATAATATTGAGAAAAATAATTATTCTTCTTGAAATGAAAAAAATCTTGTTGAGATAATTTGGAAAAATTTTCTAGAAATAAGTTAAAATGAAGAAAAAGGAGAAGAAGTAGAAGAAGAAGAAGATAAAACATGATACGATAAACATAAGAAGAAGAATAATAATGAAAACTAAATAAAAAAATAAAAAAAAAAAAAAAGAAAATAGATAAAACAACAAAATATACGAACGGACAAACGCAAATGGTCAAATAATCGAACATAGTCGCGAGAGAGATTTTTTTTCTTTTTTTCTTCTTTGTTTTTTTTTTTCTTTTACGAAAAGAAAAAGACTGTAAATTTATTGCTCGAATCTCTGCCACGTTACAATGTTTCGCCATTGCTGAAATTTCGTTCTAAATACTATTTTCTTAACGCCGCATATCAACGAATGATAGTTTTATAACAAAACTTCGATTTTGGTTCCTAAAAACATGTATTTATATATGCGTACTACGTAAGATTAAAGAAAGAAAAACAAAAATAACAAAAAGAATCGAAACCAAAAACAGAAAACAGTAAGGAAAAAGAAACGAATGAAGGGGGGGGGGGGAAAAGTTACAGTTCCCATAAACGCAATAATTTGTCCATTAACTTTAGCGCAAGAAAACGCTTTGAAAATATATCTTTTTTATATACATATATATAATAATTTTTTTTTCCTTTTTTTTTTTTTTTTTTTTTTTTTTTTTTTATCAAATGCACAAATATTTATCAAAACGAAAACGATTATCTCGTTATTCGTTAAGTATTATTACCATGAGGAGTATTTTATATTCGTTATTATAACAACGTATACGTTTACGAACAATAATAGTAATAAAAAAAAAAAAAAAAACCCACAACCTTATTGTGATCATACAGACTGCATTGTAAATATATTCCATAAATCTTGATGATACTACATTGTTGTATTAAAACGAGACAAAACGTTGCTATTATAATTCTTCTTTAAATCGCACAAGTCATGTATTTGTCGTTGAAAATAATACGACAATTACAATTAATAAGGAATTGTACGCGCGAGTATAAATAAGTTAGATAATATTATTATTTATACTTCGTAAATTTATATATTATGCTGCTATTGTTAATTCCGTTTTAATAATATTATAATAATAATTATTATTATTATTATTATTATTATACGTAAGATTAAGAAAATACAATTATATATGATTTATTTCTATACTCACGTGTGTGAATTTTCTTTCTCCGAATAATACGAATGCGTTTTGCCGAGAATTTTATATTATAATTATTAATAAGAAAAAAGATATATATTGATGATATTAAATTAATAATAAAAATAATATTAATAAAAAAACGAAACACGCATTGCACTTGTCCATGATGCCGAACACGAATCTTTTTTAATTATTGTGTTATTTATTACATTGTAATATTATTTAGGACAAATTAATTATGGTTTGTAATCACGTTTAATGGAATTATCTTACCGAGAGGAAAAGTTCGTCGGCGTTGAAATGAATTTTCTTTTTTTATCGGCTCGATTATGATTTTTTTAATTTTTCTTTTTGTGCAATTGAACAAAAATTTTGTAACATATTGTAAAAACTGTATTGATTTCATTTTTCCATCTGTTTAAAATATTTTAATAGAACATATCGCAATATACTTAAATAATATTTAATCATTCATGTTATATACACATTAATATAGAACTAATTTTATATATTACATATTGCATTAAAAAAGAAAACATAATTATATATATATATATATATAATATGGATAATAAATAATTAAAATAGAGGAACTAAGAAGAGACAACAACAGAACGCGTGTATGTATTTGAACGTATTTGTATTAGCATAAACGCTAACATTTTTATTGATTTATTTTTTTAAATATATATATAGATATATATTTATATATATATATTTTTTTTTCTTTTTTTAAATTTTTTCTTTTATTTTCTTTTATTCCATTCGATTCGGGCACACAATTATTGCATGTATGTATATGTATGTATATTTGTAATGTTTGTATGTAATGAATTATACAAGGATACCGGGTGTGTTTTACAGCTTTTAGCATTACACTTAGGTATGTTTAAATTATTATGGATCCGTTTTACAATGATATTATAGCTGGCAGTAGTAAAGAGAGAGTCGGGTTCGACATTTATTCGTAAAGATTTATTTCGCCTAAGCGCGCGTAGATTAATTAAAATTTTTTTTCCTTATTAATGGTTTGAAAATTTCCAAACTATTTGATTAACCTATTTTGTTGATTACAACAGTGTTAGTAGGGTTGGCCGATGAAAGGTAAGAAAAATTAATGGAAATGAAATGAAATGAAAAGAAAAGAAAAGAACAATCAAAAAAAATGTATAACAACAGTGGTTTTGAAGAAACAAAATTTAATCGAAGTTTTTTTTTTCTTGTTGTTTTCGTCGTTATCTTCGATTTTTGTTGTTGTTGTTGTTGTTGTTCCCTGGGAGGGAAAAAGCAATTAACAAATAATTACATTTTACTTGTAATTAGGAAAACAATTAATAATAATTGGAGCGAGGAAAACAATTTTTCTTTTTCTTTTTTTTTTGTATACGGAAATCAAAGTGTGGGGAAAGAGAGATAGGTTTTTTTTTTTTCTTTTCTTCTTCTCTCTTTTATAAATTAGATAAAATTATTACACGTGCGTTTGGCGTATAAACAAAGGAAGAAACGAAACAAATATTGTTTCATTTTGATAAGAGGAATTGGGTTATGTAAGATTATTACAAATGATAATAATTTTCGCAGAGAACCGTTTTTTTACCTCGCATTTTTTCATACGTGCATACACAACATTAAAATATTGTCGCAATTTTTGCTTTTTATTTTTTTTTCTTCCTTTTTTTTTCTTTTTTCTGACAACACGAAAAAATACGCACGTTTATCTTCTAATCTTTCATCATATGTTTTATTATTATTATCATTATTATTATTATTATTATTATTATTATTATTATTATTATTAGGTAATTTTTTTTTCCTTTCTTTTAATTTCTTATTATTCGAATATATTTCGAGGATTTTTTTTTTTTTTAATTTTTAAATCGTACAATCGTTAAATTTGTTTTACGCAAATATTTCAGAGCTGCTGCGCGACAACGAGACCTACGGATATGAACGAAAAAATAAGGAAGTAAGGAAGGGTGGAAAAATAAATAAATAAATAAATAATATATCGATCAGAGAGAAAATATTCCCGTGCGAAAATTTAAAGAATTCTTTTCGTGGGAGAATATATATATATTTTTTTTTTCTTTCTTTTTCTAATCATATTTTTTCTTTCGATAATTTTATATCTCTCGTATGCGATGTAAAAGGAAAAAAAAAAAAAAGAAGAAAAAGGATGAATGAAAAAGAAGAAAAACTAAATGTTAAAGAAGAAGAAGAAGAAAAAGAAACAAAATAAAATAAGGAAAAAAATATTTGAGATTCGTTAAAATTATTTTCTCTAAGTAATTCATCGAATATTTATACAAACGATATTTCAATATTCCAGTCACGTATTGGGATTGGTCGTTTGGAAATGGGTGTACAATAATTACTTTTTTTTTTTTTTCTTTTTTCTTTTTTGTTGGCTCGCAAAATATTCTGCTAGTATAGTTCGCGTTTGATAAATTGTTCCTGTATTTTCTTTTTCTTTGCCAAGGAACTCTTTTAAATTAATTAACGATTAAGAATAAGAAGAAGAAGAAAAAGACGAACGTGTTTTTCGTTCTTCGACAGATAAATTGCACACAATATTTCATCACGTTACTTACTACTCTTTGTTTACGCACTCTTCTCTCTCTCTCTCTCTTTCTTTCTTTCTTTTATTTTTTTATTGATCTCACATCAATCACGGGCCACATGTCGTCGTAAACTGGTATACTAATACAAATATACGTGGTCTATGTAAGTGTTGTGTAAATTAATAAACAATTCAGAGTAGTTATATATTCGTAAAGCATCAGTCTTAAGTCGAGGAAGTTCAATTAATTTGCGCACATTTCGAAGATATAATATTTTGACATACATATTATGTAAGTATATTCTGCTGTGTGTGTGTGTGTGTCTGTTCTGCGACTGTGTTATATAATACGTATGTATTTTATACATGTATATATAGATTAACCAAAAATTATAAAAGGATAAAACTTCAAGGTTTTATTTTGTGTTCGGTTAAAAGACGATTCAGATAATATTTCGTCATTTTTAACAAACATTTGTTTTCTCTTTTGTCTAATTTAATTACAAATTTCATTAAATCCGTCACTTTTTCCTTCGTTTTCTATATCTCTTGTTTTTTTATTTTTCTGTTGGAAAAATTCTGACACTAAAGTCAAAAAAATCAAATGGCAATAGACGTGAACATTAGAGATCTTTGTATGTGTTTGTGTGTAATTAGTATCGCTGCAGATTTTGTTTTGTTAAAATACATGTTTTTATATAAAATGGGTAAAAGAATTATTATTCCTTGTAGATAATATATAATATTTCTTCTGTTAGGATGTATCGTGTGTGTATATGTAACTATGTGTAATAATGGTTTGAAAAATTGATTATGCGCATATGTATATGCATATATACTATAATAATAATAATAATAATAATAATAATAATAATAATAATAATATTCCTTGGAATAAAGCATAGTCTGTATTTCGATCATTCCAATCGAATGACCAGCATTCGATATAATTCAAGCGAATGGTTATACAATAATGTATTTCAAGCTCGTCTTCTATCAATGTGTATCTCTGTCTTTTTGTATACGTATATATATGTATATATATGTGTGTGTGTGTGTGTACGTGTCAGAATGACATCTTGCAAATAAATGAATGTCAATTGATTAAAAAATTTTTAATCGGCCTCTTTCTATCTATCCTTCGACACATATTTATAAATATATACAAATTTGACGTACTCGAAAAAAATAACCCTAACGTATACTTCTTGATTTATTTCTTTTTATAAACAAATACCATTTTACACGATTGCGTCTACTTGACACAACAGTTGAAATTGGAGTGGGGATAGATAAATGAGTGGATGGGAAGGGTGGGGGGAGGGAAATAGCTAATAACGTTTGCAACGGTGTGAACGCAGCTTAATTCGTCTATAAAAATAACATTGCAGTTTCAATGTATTTTTTTTTTTTTTATATTCCCCGATCGAATAATAATAATAAATTGTTAAAAGAATTTTCCCGAAAGATCGTAATCACGCGATTATAAAATATACGTTATCACCGATGATAAAAATATAATATAACCGACACACGTTTGCTAATGTTATTTGAAATAATAAAAAGGAAAAAAAGATCGATAAAAGAAAGAGAGAGAGAGAGAGAGAAATTGAATAGAAAAGGAAGGAAACAAAAATGAGAACGAATAAAATTAGAAGAAGCATTATTGCAAGAGAGAATGTGCTCGGCCGGCAAACATAATTTACACACAAAATTACGATTATTTATCGATTAAAAAGTATATTGTTTTTCCATGAAATTTACTAGAAAAAACACACGTGCAGTGGGAGGAAGGAATACGCATACTTGGAATTATTTTTCGAGCACGTCGTTGTATACCACCACATCGCGTCTGTAAAAAATAAACGAAACAAAAAAAACAAAAAAAAAAAAAGTAAAATCATAACGCACGTGTATTTTCACTTATAATCTTTTATTCTTTGCTTTTCTTTTCTTTTCTTTTCTTTTCTTTTCTTTTCTTTCTTTAATATGACAACTTCGTTATTTAGGGTCCCTGCTTTTGCTTAAGAAAACATCGGCCCCCTTCCGATTCAGTGCTTTCACTCTCGAAAAATAACAGAGGTTATATAGAAAGAGGAAAATAAGGTAGAAAAATTTAAATTGTAATTCGTATTTTGACAGAAGAAGAAAAAGGAAATGTTAACATAATGGGGTGGCTGGAGAGGATGGCGAGGGGGACTAATAGGAAAAACGGAGGGAAGACCTTCGAGAATTGCAGAGACTCGAAACGTTATCGAAATTATACGAACATATCTTTTCTTTCTTTCTTCTTTTTCCTTTTTTCCTTACTATCCTTCTCATCTTTTTTTTTTTTCTCTCTGTTTCTTTTTTTAATTTTCGGAACAGCGTGCCGTCTCGATACGAGTTAATATCCACGTTGTTCATCATCTATATCAAATAATAATAATATAATTATTATTATTATTATTATTATTATTATAATAATATAATATAAT